GACAAAAATAAAATATCAATAATAAATTCAAAGGTTTATTAATATCTAAGAATTTATTTATAATACAAAATTTGAATGTAAAAGTTCCATCGTATTAAATATATCTTATATATAACATTCATATACAAAATGATTAAAGTGAAAATTGATGTGTAAGATACATTTATGACAATAAAAATAGATTAAAATAGAAACAAACTCTAGGAAATATATTTTATATTTTACAATACTTGAAAATTTAATATCAAATTAGAGAAACATTAACAATAGATCTTAATTTCAGCATTCTTTTCAAATTCAATAAAATCATTGTGAAAGTTAATTAATGTAATTTGGTATTTTAGTTTTCTTTATTTTTTTATTCTTTGAATTTCAAAATTCATCTTATCATTCTGTTTTCAAAAAGTAGAACTTTATACTCGAATACGCATATTAGATCATCAATAAGTTGTACTGATTTGCACAAGTTATTAATTATTATCGTTTTATTTTTGAGAATAGAATCATTAAAAAACAAAAAATGTTTTCATAAGAGAATTTTTTATGCCTATTTATTTTACATCAGAGATTAATATTTATTTGATGATGCGTTACACACCTTTGTTTATACATCTGTTTCATTATATTTCATGTGCTTATGTTTGAGGGGGATGAAAGAACATTTAACCAATCGTGCTGTTCTTCTTCTTGTTGCTCTGAACATTTTGAGAATGACAGAAAGAAAAAAGAGATGGTAACACTTTGTTCAGTCTGCTTACGTCGCTGTTTTTTCACTGGTTAGATGTAAAAATGAAGCACTATACTTGTAACGCATATTAAGACCGATTGTCTTGCTTATTTCCTTCTTTTTTTTTTTTTCTTCTACTTGCCACGGCACGTACATAGACGGGAGAGAAGCGAGCGATTACTTGCTCTCTTCTTCTTCTTTTTTTTTCAGTAGACGATGGAATACACAAATAGTTACAAAAGCGATGACTTTTTCAAGAAAGAGAGAGAGAGAGAGAGAAATGCCTGTTGCCAATACTTTGTGATTGACTAGCAGACACTAGTTTATTCTGCTCGTTTTCTATTATACAACATTCCAGAGGTAACAAATAATAATTGTATAGATTTGACTTAAAAATTTTTTTTGCAATACAATCATGGATATACATTCACTCATGGGAAGAGCTTCGACAATGATGTCAGGCAAACGTAATGATGATAGTATGTGTGATAGACTTAATTATCGATATACTGTTGCAATTTTGGTAATTTTTGCAATTATTAATATGAATCGTTTATATACAGATCAAATTAAATGTTGGGTAAAAAAAAACAAAACTTTAACTTAAAACATATGTAATATCTATTAATAATTTTCTTTTTTTTTTGTTGTTATTGTTTAAAAATAGGTACCAGCATTTTTTACACCAAACTATGATGAATATGTTCGATCAGTATGTTTTGTTCAAAATACATATTATATTAAACATACAGATAAAGTACCAAAAAAATATGAAAATAAAAAAGAAAATGAAATATTATATTATCAATGGATACCATTTCTTTTACTTATTAAAGCATTTCTATTTTATATACCACGTATGTCATGGAATACATTTGGTTTAAAAAGTGGTGTACAAATATCTGATCTTGTTGAATCATCTTTTGATTATAAATTACCAACAACAGATGCAATACATCGACAAATGTGTCTTAAATATGTTATTGATACAATTGATGATTATTGTAATGATCATCGTCGACAAATAAATACACGAAAACATTTAAATATATTTCAACGAATTTTAACAGCTGGTTGGTGTTTAACAGGTATATATCTTGGTAATTATCTTGTTGTTTTATATACAACAACAAAATTAATGTATATTGGTATATCAATATTTCAAATATTTATATTAAGTATATTATTGGGTTCTAATTTTGCTTTCTATGGTGTACGAGTTATTGATCGTTTATTTCGAGGTTAGAAATTTTTTTTTCTTTTTAGTTTTTATTAGTTGATTCAAATAAAAAAAAAAATTATTTGTTTAGGTATTAGTTGGGATACTGAAACACGTTTATTTCCTAAAACAACATTATGTGATTTTACAGTACGTGAATTCGGTCATCCAAAACAAGCTCATGAATATACTGTTCCATGTGTATTACCACAAAATTTATTTAATCAACAAATGTTTACATTACTTTATTTTTGGTATGCTATTGTAATTTTACTTAATATTGCCGATTTTGTTTTATGGTTATATACAATTTCATCAGAAAATCGTCGTAGTTTTATTTGTAAACGTCTTCATTCAAAGAAATATCCATTAACAGATAAAACTAAAGATCAAGAAAAAATAAAAATATTTGTTAATGATTATCTTGAAGCTGATGGATTTTTTATGTTAACATTAATTAAAGAAAATAGTTCAGATTTTGTTGCAACTGAAATTATTTATCGTTTATATACAGAAAAATTTCTTGAAAAATATTTCAAAGAAACAACAACAACAACCATTTATGATGCTATCGATATAAAACCATATGATGATTATACGAATAATACTAAACGACGTCAACCTCTTTGTTCAATGATTTGTTAACTTAGATTTTGTTTTTTCTTCATGTAAAATTTTATTACAAAATCGTATATATGTATATATATATTTATCATTGAAAATATCTTTTTTTTTCTTAAAAGTAAAAACATTTCCTGTTATTCAATAAGAAGAAAAATCGTTGATTACAAGAAAAAATTTGCACTCGATAGAATACTTGTTTGAAAAAGAATAATAAATATAAGAAGAAATGTTATGCCAATAAATATTATTTTTCCTGGTCGAATAGTTAATCCAAATAATTTTACACGTAATTCAGCTTTAGAAAGAAAAAGTAGAAAACCATCAAGTTCAGTAGATGTAGAATTATGATATCCATAGACACGCATTGAAAGACTAATACGATAAAATTTATCACATTTCGATGTTACTCGAGCTGCCTAGAAAAATTAAAAGAAAAAATTAATAAAATAAATTTAACAATTTACTTGTCCAAGACAAAAAGCAAGTATGGAAAACCAAATCACTGTATATAAAGATCGATAAATCCACATATTAACTTGAAATATTCGATTAACTACCAATAAGATAAAACCTTGAAAATAAATCGAAATATTTTCTAATAATTTCCTATTCAAAATTTTTTCAAATAATACTAAGTCTACAGTGACCTACTTTTGTTTTGTACTTAATTATACAACGGGAAAAGAATTCATATCAAAATAGATTTCTATTATGTTTTCTAATTAATGATTTTATCTTATCTTATCTTAAAAGAAGCAAAACTGTCATGAGATGAGATATGAAGACATGTTATTACTTCATAGAATTCAATTTTCATTGATATATTTTTATCAATGAAGAAAGTCAACATGTTTTCACATTATCTATTGATTTAAAATATGATTATTATAATAATGATGTTTTAATTAATTTTTTAAAATCTTTTAATATCATATAACAAGATTCTAAAGATATAATATTAATAAGCTTATAAATATTATACTTCTAAAATCAAATATTCATTTTAAATAAATAAAAATTAAATTTTTATACCAAGTATAGTACGTTCAAGAAAGAAAATAATTAATATTGACATCATTCGTGATGCTGCACTATTTAATTGACTTATTGATGTACCAAGATCAAGAATTCGTTTCATAGCTTCAAGAAGATGTATGGATTTTTCTTCTAAACGTATACGAATTGCTTTACAATAAAAAAGTATCATTTCACAATGACACACATAATTCATAGCAACAGCCATATGAATACAATTCGAAATAAGAAGACAAATAATATCAATTGCAAAAAGTACATATCTTACAGGTGTTCTAAATAAAAAATAAAAAAAAAAATTCAAAATAAAAAAAAAAAGTTTAAATAAACTTACTCTTTTACAATATGATATGTTGTTTCACGAAAAATAAATGTATGTGCAAAATCATTCATAGCATTTGAAAGAGCATGTGTAGCTACAGATAT